ATTGTGTGATACGATCTATGTTATTTCCGAATCGCCATTTTTATGAACAAAATAATTGCAGTTGTTACTTTCGAAAACAAAGGTGACAATCGTTTTTGGGCCCACTAGAAACTTTAACGTAACTTAATTTTATTACACATATAAAGAAGACCAATTTTTTATAGTAAACGGCCTAAAGATTTCATAAATATGTAACCGGGTTCATAAATTCTGAAAAATAAAAAAGTTCTTTTGATTTTCGTTAATTAGCCAATGTAATATGAGAAAAAAATGCGTATAAAGAAGAACCAACTACTAAAATTTTTTCCATCAACCTCAAAGTACCTATGAAAGCTGAATAGCGTTTGTTTTTAGGTTATTGTGATATTCATATTTTAATTGTTAATTTCTCAGTATTCCAGTTAGATACGGTAAAACTAATATTAATATTGTAATTTATTGCTTATAAGGAATAAATCGACATGTGTTTCATTAAGTTACGCCTGGTTACAGTGGCGGACCCATTCTTAATACAAAAGTCTCCTTTGTTGAGTTTAGTATATAGGGTTGACATTAGAAGTAAAGATATTACATTTTGATATGTGAGTAATAAGCGATTTTGCTTTTATGATAAAGTACCCTTTATGATAAAGTATCACCATACTGACCCGACCTGACGTTTCATACATTTTACTTTGGCGTTCAATAGTTGTGGCCGTGGAGAATACGCTTGCGGTTTTTCGTTGAAAATAGGTAGGAAGAAATTTAAACAATTTAATGTAATTTTTAATTGAATTAATCGTCATCATCAGCGTCATTACTGCCCACCACAAGTCCACAACTGAACATAGACCCCCCCCCCCCCCCCCCAAAATGCCTAAATTGAGTGAGTAAATAGGTTAAATTTGCATTCATATGACCGTGTAGGAATATCCACTACCCCATATCATCCCGTGTTTGTCGTAAGAGGGAAAGAAATCAGGAGATGGGCAGCAACGTTTTCTTAATAACGATTAAAAATAAAACCGCTTTTCCAAGCGTGGTAACTATGGCGGATATTTGCTATATGAAGCAATCAATCAAAAATGGGGGGGGGGGGGGGGGGTTTGGGCTCTGTTCAGCAGTGGATTTTAATAGGCTGTAATGGTAACGGTAACGACATTCATTTAACTTGGCAATAAACGGCAAACAGCGAACACCAAACTACAACACGAACATGTGGATAGTTGTTTGCCTGTTTTTGTTTGTGATTGCCAGTGATCGGCATCGGTGTCGGTTTTTGTGCACAAATCAAAGAGTGTTCGACAAACGTATTTGCGATGTAACCAAACGTTTGTTAGCAATTAATAATATGCGCGAGCTTGCGGGTGGCGGACGGAATTACTAATGGTTATTATTATTATTATTATATTCTACTCTGTGCCATTGCGTATTTAGCTATTGGTGTATTTTATGTTCTTTTTTGTTGATTCGATTTTGCGTTTTTTTAAATTAAAATAAGTGAACTTCGTCGTCCGATACTAGCACGTTCGCCAAGCATGTGGTTGCCGTGTTTGTGTTGGGTGATTGTGCTCGTTGTTTGGCACGTGTTTGGCGATTCTTGCTGTTTGTGGCAAACACCAAGCATGTGGAGACGCCTTAATAAACGACGTATGTAATTACCTATCATACCTACTTATAATATAATCGTGGTACTTGGAAGGCATATATAATGAGCAGTCAAAATAAGCAACAAAAAATATACAATATTTGATGAGTGTACGCGATAGCACACCTGTATACCGCCAAGCCTACGTCAATTACGTATTCCAATCGTATTTTATGACACAGGCTATTTGCATGTTGGTCTCGTAATGTATCGGATGATTTGGATTTCGCAAAATTGAATTGTTCAGTTAGTATTAATAAATAGAAATTCTTCCTATTTAGTAATTTTTATTTATCTCGTAAGTTGTTTTAAAAATGTATTAAGTGACGTTGCATTGGAAGTGGCCGACTTATTAAATAATAGTATGGATACTTCTTACTTTTAAAATACTAAAATAATTGCTCACAATATTTTTTATTCGAAAACGGTCATTGCAAATAAGTATTGGGAAGAAATGTTGCGTTAATCTCTCTCGAAAAAATAATTCAGTTGTCACGTCTTTAAACAATTTTTTTTTAGTTTTCAATTATATTATATAAATTATTATTGTCCAGCGATTGCAATAGTTTTTTTTAACCAGAAAGTAACTTTACTATTCCTTACTTTTAGCGTAACATAACGCCGATAGAAAACTATTAACTACTAAACGAAATTTGTTTTTAAAATTATAATTCAGATTTCTTTCATTTTATAGTTTTCTATATGCATTAATGATTATATAATAATAATTATTATTATTATTATTATAACGATTGCTTGGCTAACCTCGCTGCGAATAGAATAGATAGAATACAGCTCTAGGAACTTTGTTTATTTTTAACCTTCGTTGTAATTTGTAACATACTTTATTATTGTATAGTTTTAGTATTGACATCGTTTAGATAGTGGCTAAGACAATACTGCGCTTATTGTATTATATATATACTACAAACAATATATATACTATACTACAAAAATCATATATTTTGCAAACTGTGTGCAGTTTGGTCCAACTTGAGAGATAGGCTAGTTTTTATTCCGATAAGTGACTCTCAATATTTTTTAATACGAATTTAAGGATTTTTTATGAGACTATTTTATTTTTTATAGGAAACGGTCGTCGGAGTGGGCAGAACAACGTCTACCTGGCCAGTATCTCTTTATGTATGTATAATGGGTACAAACATATCTATCTACATATATCTGATGCTATGTAGGTTTCTTAAAATAAAACCCCTTTGTTAGGTAAAAGACTAAATTATTCCGAAGTAACATGAGCAATATGACGATGAAACTCGAGGCGGGAACATTCCGACCGCTTTCGAATGACGTGTAAGATTACGAATTATTGTGAAATTTCGCAAAGGTTCTTTGTGAAACACTTTGGATTATTAGTAAGATTTGTTTTAAAATTAGAGTTTCGTGAAAGTCTGCATTGTTTATTAATTTAATTGAACCTGAGCAGTGTTACTGAAAAAAAAAACCAATATAAACAAAATCCTCTGTGACAATTTAAAATTTAAGCATATCTGGTGTGTAACTTAGTTGTGATAAGCTCCAAATATTTTACGTCTTTTGTATAAGTCCATAATAAAACATGCTTCACTTATAGAACGAACCTCATTTCTAAACGGTTGAAGATTTGAATAAAATGTCATTTCATAAACAAAATTATTTCTTTATGTCGAAGAAATAAATATACTGCATTTAATTTCAATAAAGGGTTTTGTGAAATAACATAGACCATATGAATATGGTCAGCCTAATAAATATCAACAAATGATCAAATGCATTAGCTTCAATCATATTTAGAAATTTAAATATTATTATAATTATTGCCACGCGAACCACGTATTTTTATTTTTAAGTCCCAGTATAATTCTAATTGTAAAACCAAGACACATGTGGACTTAAGAACCGGTCGATCCACTCGCATCGGCCTTACTTATTTGCGTAAGAAACTTCGAGATAAAATATTTACAAATATCGTATATACAACGCATGTAGAAAAAGATCAGTCCGATTATATTAGGCACTCAAGACTAAAGTTGTCTGTATCTAATTATATACGAAGTATTTTGTGACTTCTACCAAAAATTACCATATACCATATGTATCTAATAAAATCATACGACATGGAGAAATAACGATATTAATATTAATTTGAAGAAAAACTTGGATATGCATACGTCCGTACTGGTTTACATAATCATTTCTAATATTTAAGCGAACACTACACATTGAAATAAAACTAGTTTTTTCGGATTTTATCGTGTATAATAACTTATTTTATATTCCTGACGTTTTAAGATACTATAAGTTCATACTGCGTAGATCGGAACAAAAATAATAATTTTTATCTGGAGGTTATATTTTGTGAAAATATAGCTGTTTTCTACTTTAGTTGCAAGAGCCATTTCTAGTTTCTAATTCTTTCATATTTCTTTCTCTGTACTAATTAAAAAAAAATATGTAAAACAACGTCTCTTATCATGAAACAATGCTGTGCATACTTTTAATTTAAATGCATATTATATATAATGTATTTTTCAAAAATCGTGATATAAGTTCCTTTTATGTATTTAGTTGGTGGTAAGCCTTATAAAGAAAATAAAAAATAAAAGTAGCATCAGAACACCGCAGTTCCCCCGTGACCATGGGCGCTGTAAAGTACTCGAATCGTCGGGAATACAAAATAAGTTAATATACACGATAAAATCCGTAAAAACTAGTTTTATTTAAATCTGAATCTAAGTTTACTATATCTCTATCAACTCTGACCAAACATGTACACGTATGTTCTAATAAAATCTAGGATTGATAGGAGCCGGCATTGCACCCGCATCTAGAGCAAATAGTATATTATGTAACATGTCAATGTCAACTAGTAGTTGTGCTCTACAAAGCGCAACAGCTGAAAGCTACCTTGCTTAAGTCAATTTCCAACCGATTGGAGCAAAGATTTTTTTATAATTCTTGTCCAGATTCAAATAAATATTTTACAATCGAGTGTAAATAATCTAAAAGTTGAAATAGTATAGACCTTTTTCTCATTAGTGTACCTAATTTTATATATTAAATAAATAGTATTTATGGCTAGAAACGCCATCTGTGCGTTTATTTTCTTAATTTGCTATTATCAATTTTATTTATCATTTAAATAAAATATATTAAGAAATACATCAAAGTGTTGTCCGTCATTCTAAATTTAATAATTCACAGATGGCAGTCCGATTGTAACTTAATCCCAACGTTATCGAAGATATCAGTACCAGACGTTTGGTTAAACATTGGCAAGCGTAAAAGGACCAATTCGAAACATTTGATCGAACAAAACCACAATGTTCAAATACAAAGGAAGAAAAATACGCATTCTAAGGCGTAGTGTCCACACCTTGAGCCACCACAGTCAGAATACTCCTCTTGGGAATTGGAATGGTCGGTCTCAATATCTGACAAATGTGGGTAGATAGTAGCTTGCGGAAGTACAGATCCGTTTGTTTCTTTGCTATTGTTTACTTTTATCCTCTTCACATCATCCAGTACTGAAAGAACAACTTGTGAATCTTGAGAGCCTGTAAAATAAAAATTATTCTAAGAATGACAACATACATTTTATTAACTAATTAATAATTATATTTATTATTAATGTTTAAGTGATAGTATGGGCCTTTAAATATACATATATATACTATATTAGTACTGTAGACACAGAGAGACACATGCAATTTACATTTTTATTATCTTTATATAAAAAAATGATGTGTCACATTGTTTGTCCGCGATGAACTAAACTACTGAACTGATTTTAATGAAATTTTGCACACTGTTTTAACAGTGGTAGAGCCACGCGGCAGCTTTTGCTGTTGCACGGATGGGCCGGCTCGAACCGGGGTAGTACCACGACCTCACAGAAAACCAGCGTGAAGTAGAGGTTTACGTTTCGCTTGGTGAGTGCAGGTGGCCGGAGGCCCTTTTTACTGGAAATGAGGCATTCCATCTTAGTCTTCACGGGTGACAACGCATCTACATTTTGATTTGTAATAGAGGATAGATGTAAATGTCTATGGGTCGCAGCAACTTACCATCCACTTACCATCAGGTGGACTGTGTGCTCGTTTGTCACCCTTATCCTATAAAAAATAAAAAAATACACTGTGTGCAGTTTGGTCCAACTTGAGAGATAGGATAGTTTTTATCCTGATAAGTGACACTGAATATTTTTTTATTACGAATACAAGTATTTTTTATATGAAGGGCAGAACGACGTCTGCCTGGCCAGCTAGTAATATTTATAAAATCTTTCAAGGTTATTTTTTAAAGAGTGGTCAAATTGTAAACTTAAGTTCAAATATATAAACAATGATGTACCGTTATTGCAGTTTTTGAAAATACGAGTAAATAAGGCTTCTACTTTTATTTGAAACTATGGGCAACTCGCGCTCTTTGTGCGTTCAATTCACGTTTTTGCTGACCAATCGACCCTTACGAATGTGCGCGTGTGTAGTAAATTAGCAGACAATCAGTTAAAATAATGCATTGCCACGCATTTTGAATTTAAAAGATAAAAAAGACAGAATGTATGAGATTTTTTTTAATTAACTTTTCTTCACCATCTGCCTATATTGTATTAACTTATTCTGAAACTTCTCTGCAAGTTTTGGACGGTTATTGCAAAATAACTCTGTATAAGTATTACTTAGAAGTATACAATAGTTACTACGTTTGGCAGGTGGGTTGGCTACACAAAGTTGCATATTAATATATAATTTTGTAATGTGAAATCTTGTGGCTGGTAACCATAAATTTGAAATTAATTCTATAAATAAAACGACCGAAGGATTTTGCGGTTATCATTTTACGTCGCACGCTTCTTGTATTTTATTTTAAAGCTCTTATTAACAGTGACTGACCTATACTGCCAGGACTCGTTTAATAAAATAAATAACAAAATTGTGAAGTGAACGCAAATGTCAAGGATTTTTTGGACATGTTCTTTCAGACATACTCAATAATCGGCAAAGAAATTATTAAATCGATTCAACTTCATTACACAAATATAACTTGAAATAACATTTTTTTTTACGTTGAAATCAATGCATTAATAAACAAGCTCATTGGTTAAAACAGTAGTCAAAAAACCCGATTGTGTAAAAAAACGTTTACTGAAAAGAGAAAATTTTTACACCTTATGTCACTTCCACAACTAAGACGAATCTAACGACATTCCATAAGTTCAAATCGATCAAGCGGTTTACGCTACAGATCGTGCCAAAGAAATAGACATACATACATATGAACATATACTATATCCTCGAAAAAACAATTACCCTTCTTCTGGGATAGTAATGGTGTTACGACACCAATCGATCGATCGTCGATCGATGGCACTGATCGATGGATACATGTCGATAAAACGTTGATTGAACAACGAATAATCAAGCAACTCGATTGAAGTCGACTAATACATTCCACCATCGATCGACGATCGATCGATTGGACACTGGAGATGGTAACACTTTAATACTTATAATTGACTAATATAAGATTCTTAATAAATGTTTAATGTTGAAATCATTGGATTAATAAACCGGCCAATTGTGTAAAACTGTAATCCAAGAAAACCCGACACTGTAAAAAAGTTTACTTAAAAGGGAATCATTTTATTGAAAATAGAAATTTTTTTTACTCTATGTCACTTCCACGACTAGAATCTAACAACGGCCCATTATGTTAAAATCTATTGACCCGTAGGCTAAAGATTGCGCCAAAGGTATAGAGATAGACAAACATATATCCGTATATACATTCGAAAAACATTACCCTACTTCTGAGGCTGTCGGGTTAAAAGATAAAAAAAAACTCACTTCTCCGTTTTACGGGTTGTGAGGCAACAACTTTATCCTCCTTATCAGCGGGCGCTTCCGATTCCTTCTCATCGAAGGTAACTTTGGGCAAGTTGGATACAATTTCGGCTTTCTTGCTCGCTAGGGATAGGCTCGTCGTACTGCCCATTAAAGGGGCCTTCTCAGAGGGATCGTGCTCGCTCTGATCGTCATCGGAGTCATTGAGCTGTTGAGTGTCTTCTTGTTTAGGCTGAAAGAGAAGCAGATGGATATTAAAAATGGGTGACGTTTTATCGTTTGATTTCAGATCAAATCATATCATGGTTGTAGCACGAATGGGTCGGCTCGACCAGGGAAGGATCATGCTCCTACAAAATACCAGCGTAGCAGCACAATGTTGTTGCGTTTCGTATGGTGAATGTAGAGAACCGGGAGACACTTTTTACTGGAAACGAGGCATAACATCGTAGTCCTCTGGGTGGCAACGCATCTGCATTTTGATTCTTAATTGAGGATAGATGTAGATGTCTATGTCCACAGCATCCACTTACCATTAGATGACCTGTGAGCTCGTTTGTCGCCCTTATTATATGTTTTGCGTGAAAGCAAATGTTGCCTACTGATTTAAGTGTTAAGCAAAAATGTTAGAGTACAGGTATAGGGGCAATAATGATGTGAGGGTAGATTGGATTTTAGAAGCCATATTGCCTGTAATGGTTGGTTGGTGGATGTGGAAACCAGAAGGGCTAAGATGTGAATATCGAAAATTGGTTCGGAGTCAATTATATGATTCGGGTAAAACAAGAAATATTTTTAACGAGTTTTTTCAGTTTTAAAATCAATAATTTATTAGGTTAAGTACATACGGGCTATGATATTATTTTATAGGAGACAACCCACTAGGACTCTTCTTTACTTGTTGGGCGAAGGTTATAGACGCCTACAATTGCTATTTTCCTAGAAATGAACAGTGAGCTCGTTTTTAAACGGCGTTAAAATAATACAATCATTAAAAGCGAACGAAGTTTTAACTTGCAAGCTATGAGCTGTACTGTATGGATTGTTCAAGAAAGTTTTACATGATTTTAATATCGGCATCACTTGAACGTAGCGCTCCGTCTAATATCTTTCTATGTTTGGCTGAGTTAGATACGAAAAACTCCAGATCTTTGAATCGCCAATAAAAAATAAAAATATTGTGACTGTCAATGTTTACATATTATTCCGAGTGTTAAAAGATGCGACAGAGGGAACCAAGTGGTAAAATTAAAAATGTTGTACAACCGACTTCATCATCATCATCATCATCAATGTAGTCAAAGTCAATTAAATAAATAATAAAGATAACTCAAAAACTACTGGTCAGATCTTGAGCAAATATTATACAGGACCACATGAGAAGCACCAGCTTTTAAATAAAAAAGAGAATCATCAAAATCGGTTAACCTAGAAAAAAGTTCTGAGGTAACACAAATAAAAAAATACAGTCGAATCGAGAACGTTCCCCATGTTTGAAGTTGGTTGATAAAACAGGCGATGGGCAGCAGCATCTCTCTGATTATAACATAAAATACTGCGGTAACCGAACCGCCTACTAAGCGTGGCACCTCAGTAAAAAATAATAATACGAATAAGTGTTGCTTCTTACTAACAACTATACTATACTATACAAACTATTTTAATCAGTCACTATGTACATGTTTAAATGAGAAATAAACTTTTTAAGTTACACACCACTGAGATTTTTTAAGTAACTTAAATTGTTTCAACGTAAAAAAAATCTTTTAACACAGTGCTAAAGACATAGTGTATCGAAGAAATTCAAAAGTTTGTGGAAACAATTCATTTTTTTTTAATTTTTAACCCCCGACGAAAACAGAGGGGTGTTATTTTTGTAGTGTGTATCTGTGTGGCTTTCTGTCTGTGGCATCATAGCTCGTGAACGAATAAATTGATTTTGATTAAGTTTATTCGTTTAAAAGCTGTCTTAATCGAGAAATCTATTCGTTATTTTTTTTAAATCTGTTCAGCCGTTCGAAGATCACCAGTTCTTTTTGTTTCGGAGGTATTTTAAATGTTTTAATGTAAGTTATTGAAGTTGGTTTTTACTTGTATTTAAAATTTAATTTTTCATTCTATTGAGTGGAAATAGCAGTCCGCGTCGTTCAGTCGCCTAACTTCATCCCCTATTTTTAAATCCCCACAATTTAAATCGGTTTTGAGTCTAAACCGATTTAAATTGTTCTAAACTTTAGACGTTTGCTACAAAATAGTTGCATTTAAATAACAAACATACGCGTCGATTATAGAGAACCTACGCCTTTTTTGGAATTTATTACAAATTATAACATTTTAGATATCTTAGTCGTTTAATGTTTAAACGTTAAATACACGGAAGATATTTTCATGTTTATATTGTACACAATTGTGGTGAAATAGCACACATCTCACAAAATCCTAGTACGGCTATGATGAAGTCCGTGGGAAACAATTAGAAATGAGGTTGGAAGCTTGCGTAGGTCTGAAATTAACACATATTGTGTGCATATTTATCAATGTTAGACCGCGTTAGGTTAGATAACGACGTAATGCTAGTCATCCGAATGTGTAATTCGTACAAATGATGTTTAAAGGTTCTATTTTATCGCACATGTAATAAGTAGTTTCAGTAGCATAATAAGTTTACATTAATTGCTTCCAAAGTTTTAACAAATATCAAATTTTAAGAATTATGTTATATCAAATAAAATTTCCATATCTATATACGCATAATTTCCATACAAAACTAAAAAGAATACGCCGATAAATTTTTGGTCTGTAAGGTACGTTGGGGTAAGATCGGTGATGGGGCAAGACCGTAGGATTCAAATTCCCGGCGAATTATGCTATATTTTGAAAAGCTAACAATATGCTACACGACGCCATTTCATCCTGCCCCGACCCTCAGTTCGCGCCAGTCACTCCGACAACTGGGACCTGTGCTGTGCGGCATTTTATAAAACAATGTAATTTTTGTATTATTTTTGTCCATCCGATCTTTCCCTATCACTTTTATTTACGATTTTTAGCGAGAATATGGCTTCTTTTGTTATTATTTTGTGTGGATACTAATTTTTATGAAGTTATAGCTAAATAAAGCTGGTCTATACAGGGCTAAGATCGCTGTAGGCCGAGATCCGATGTTTCCCCTCGTGAGTGAAGATCGGATGAATATTATCCGATCTTTGCCTGTTACAAATATGGCAGTGGTTGTTAAACTTTCATTGGTCGTGTATATTTTTTCGTTGATTACTCAAGTGACTATGGGACTCAGTCTCGTTAGCAAGTCTGTATATTTAAAAGTAATAAAATAATACGATGGTTTTATTACTTTTAAGTACACATTAAAATACATTTTTTTTATAGGATAAGGGTGACAAAGGAGCGCACAGTCCACCTGATGTTAAGTGATTGCTGCCCATAGACATCTATATCTATCCTCTATTACAAATCAAAATATAATTTATAATAATTATTTAAAAAAATAATTTATAATAATAAATGCCGCTTTGTTAAAATATTTATATCTTCCTTAACTCCTGCATTATCCCAGGGCATTTCGCCAGTCCTTACTGTTATTTTTTTTCCCATATAAAATCAAATGCATCCGATCTTTCTCTTATATTGAGTAATTCCATCTTATGTCATAACAAAGTTTGAGAAACATAAAATTACAATTTCTTTATATCAGGGATAAGATCGGATGGCAAGAAACAAAAAAAGAGAAAATCGTTTGGAACATTTATGTTTCTAGTAATTTATAGATCATATTGAAATATGTTTTTAAGCGTTAAAGATAGGACAAATCTCTTTTATAAACTTTTTTCTCTAAGCAGTAGAAGTGGTTTTAAATTTAAGTCCGGTCTTACCCCTTAATGGCCAATTTTTCATTATGCATATAAAAAAGTATGTCTAGTTTTCGCACACCTTTAAAGCAGAAACCGTTGAGTTTACACAAGCAAAGGATTTTCAGAGCTAAACTACGTTTAACTATTAACGGTTTGCTCCATGTTCCATAAATCTGACGTATACGAATGTCGAGAAATTAAAGTTTTTGGCAGACTCTTCCAACTATTCGAAAATCCGTCCGGTATTACCCCAACGTACCTTATATACAGCAATTATTTTATACATACGTGTGAAAATTAAGTAGCTGCCACATATGTATAAATAGTAAGTTTACCTTTCACTATCGGATATGTTAATAAAAAAGTAAAATGAACGCAATGAAGTCGGGACGGGAATATCTCGGGTCAGGAGCTGTGTCTATTTATAAATGCATAGCTTAGTGTTAGCTCTGAACCTCAACATTTAAGCACTATTTCATGTAGTTATTAGAATTTTTTTGTAAATAGATGTTTTTATTTATTTATTGAGCTGTACTGTTACCAATAAATATTATTTGCTTCCTTTATTTGTAGTTATTTTTGTGAGCTTATGAGTGAGAGACAAAGCAACGAATGTTTTGTAGAAATGTATTTGGTAGACAGGTTAATTTTTTTTTATAGAATAAGGGTAACAAACGAGCACACAGTCCACCTGATGGTAAGTAGTTGCTGTGACCCATAGACATCTACATTTATCCTCAATAAAGAATCAAAATGCAGATGCGTCGTTACCCGTGAGGACTAAGATGGAATGCCTCTTTTCCAGTAAAAAGGGTCTCCGGTTCTCTACACTCACCATACGAAACACAGCAGTGTCAAGCTGCCATTTTACGCTGATATTCTGTGAGAGCGTGGTCCTTCCCCGTTCGAGCCGATCCATTCGTGCTACAACTATACTACTAATATAGCTGTACTGTTAGCAGCATGGCTCTACCACGTAAAAGACAATGCCCATCTGTGCCCCAGAAATGCCCAGATAAAGTATATTACAAGATTGCTCTAATAAATTAAAACTAGAATTATGTTTTTAATTTTAAATCATATGAAGCACTGGATAAAAAATAAGAAAAAATAAGACGTTTTGTTGACTTTGCAGTAGGTACGTATTATCGTTTCAATCATTAATTCATGCTTTATTTATTACGGTCTGGAATCACGTCTTTTGGCCTATGTAAAACTCAACATGATTAATATTAGTCATAAAAGCGATTACTAAATAATCGAATAATAGTATATTGCTTTACAACTAAACCAAATAAAAATATGATTTTATAATAAACGTCATCAGATGAAAAAAACATGGCCCAGTTAAGCATTTATTTTTGTTATCAAAAGTCAGAGACAGACTAGTTTTTACCAACGCCATTTATGGGACTATTTGTTTGTTCACCTATCCCTCATTGACAGTCTCTTAAATTATAAAATCTTAGGGTTTGTTTAGTTCGGGGCTTAATAATTGTCATGATAAATAAAATCTTCGAAAAAGGAATCGTTTTTTGTTGATCAATTGATCTAAGTAATCGATTCCAATATCGATTATTATTTTACATTTGAATCATCAACGAGTTGAATAAAGATCTAAATTATGTCTCCAAACACGCAAAAGTAAAAAAGTACTTTGTGGTAGTGTATAAGTATATCTAGGCTTCAAATAAACAAATATAATGAAAGCAAATACCTAATGAAGTAATGGCTCAAAAGACTTAGCTCCAAGTCAAAAACATTCCAAAAAACTAAAATGACTGTCACTCATTCTTTCACTGTATAAAAAACCAGTACGAAGTTATTATGTTTAATGTCCAATATCTTTTGAACCGGTGCTTTATATGACATTAAATCTAGATATCATATAAATACTGTTAAAAAGTTATCATATGACATAGAGCTGCAATTTGGGCATTGCATGGCATTACTGACTTTCAGCTCCATACTAATATGGGCATGGTCCTTTGGAAAGAAACCTGGCAATAAATAACTGCTAATACCAAAGCTACTATATAGACAGTGGCGTTAATTACATATAATTATGAATAAGAAAAAAAAGGATACCCTTTACTACACCAAATCACTTAAATAGCTTCAAAAGTCACCGGCGCGGCGTGGTTGATATTGGACGGGTAGAATATACTTTAACTTAAATAGAGATTTTAATACTTTAACGTGGTAAAGACGCGCTGTAGCTGTGTTATGGCTGCATAAAGAATACGTCTGGTTCGATCATGCTCTCACAGAATATCAGCTTAAATAAAAAAGCAGAACAACGGTGATGTGTTCAATATAGTGAGTGATGAGAACCGGAAACCCTTTTTACGATAACGAGACAACGCATCATCATCATCATCATTACAGCCCTTCACAAGTCCACTGCTGAACATAGGCCTCCCCCAAAGAATGCCACAAAGCACGGTCCTGAGCCACCTGCATCCATCGACTTCCTGCATATCTAACCAGGTCGTCACTCCATCTAGTGGGGGGACGCCCTACACTTCGCCTGCCGGTACGAGGCTGCCACTCGAGAACCTTTCTTCCCCATCGGTTGTCGGTTCTTCGAGCTATATGGCCGGCCCATTGCCACTTCAGCTTACTAATCCGTTGGGCTATGTCGGTCACTCTAGTTCTACTGCGGATATCCTCATTTCTGAGTTTATCACGCAGAGAAACTCCGAGCATAGCCCTCTCCATAGCTCGCTGAGCGACCTTGAGCTTCCTCATCTGGTCAGCAGTGAAGGACCACGTCTCAGTTCCGTATGTCATCACTGGCAACACGCACTGGGTGTACAGTCTCGTTTTCAAGTTTTGAGGTATACCTGACGAGAAGATGTGCCGTAATTTCCCGAACGCTGCCCAACCGAGTTGAATCCGTCGATTGACCTCTCGGTCGAAGTTGGACTTACCTAGTCGGACTATTTGTCCCAGGTAAACATACTCGTCAACAACTTCGAGCTTAGTGTTCCCAACAACTACCGGCATAGGTGTGACATGGACATTAAACATGATCTTTGTTTTGTCCATGTTCATCTTAAGACCTATCCATTGGGAAACACTATTGAGGTCATTGAGCATAGTGCTTAGGTCCTCCAGCGATTCTGCCATAAGGACTATATCGTCGGCAAATCGAAGGTGAGTGATGTACTCGCCATTGATGTTTGATACCGTATCCTTTCCAGTCCAGAAGCTTGAAAACATCTTCCAATGCAGCGGTAAAGAGTTTCGGGATATGACGTCACCCGACACGAGACAACGCATCTGCATTTTATTTCTTAATCGAGGATAGCAGTAGATATAGGCGTTTATAGAGCAAAGGTACTTACCACCAGGTGGACTGTGTTTGTCATACTTACTTGTATATAAAAAGATAAGGACATCATTATCAGGTTTAAACACCGAACAATATTTTCTGCGTTGTGTATGTCGTGTAAATCACCTCACCTTATTATTAAATATATCTCTGAACTATGAATCAAGTTGGGTGTTGTTTTCTAGGACCTACCTCATTATAGGCACGAAAGTATGTGAATAGATACGTTAAAGATACGTGTGCAACGACACCCGAGAACTTCACAACTAGGTTCATAGCTATCTGAGAACGCGGTGTCCGTATCGAGGCAATGCAATTGCGGCTGTATATAGGGTTGCCAACTATAGTTGGAAGAAATATAATATTTTACGAACAATAGCGTTAAAATATACAGTACGTAACAACAAAATATGAAAATAAAATTGTCTCTACGAAAGATCAGATCAATCTCTCAGAATAAAAGCGTAAAATAGCAGCTTAACACTGCTGTGATTCGTATGGTGAGTGTAGAGAACCGGAGTCCTTTTTTATTGGAAAAGAGGCATCCCATCTTAGTCCTCACGGGTGATAACGGATCTGCATTTTGATTCTTTATTGAGGATAGATGTAGATGTCTATGGGTCACTTCAACCACTGGCCATCAGGTGGTACCTGGTCGTTATATGGGACCACATGAGGAGCATTAGCTTTCAAATAAAGAAAAACATAGTCGAGTACCTCCTTTTTGAAGTCGGTAGAAAACATAAAACATAATCTTACCTTATAATGGAATCTGTTTTGCAACATCTCCATCTCTTTCTCTCTTTCCTGTTTAAATTTATTAGTGATTGTCGTCTCGCTTATCGTCTGCTCTTTGTTAAATAAAGCCGCCAGTTTGCCTTTTATTCCACCACCAAAAGAACTCTGACTAACAGTATCCTCGTTGACGCTATCCTTTGAATTGGTTCTAGAATTGGTCGAAGAGAGATTCGTTCTAGAATTGCTCGAGGAGAGGTTCGTTCTAGAATTGCTTGAAGAGAGGTTCGTTCTAGAACCGGACGTATGCACTGGCGTGGTATCTGATAAGGCTTTATTGGTGTCTGATTTAGCGTTTTGGGCTGTCCGTGTTTTGTCAGCTGGAAATTAATAAATAATTAATAACAGGGTATGAATATTTTAAAAAACTAAACAAAAATATAATGGACAGATAAAAGTAAACTTCTTTATTTCTTTATGATTGGCTCCTATTCAATAATGTTTCAAAGTTTAACGTATTTAATAGTGCCAATGGTGTAACTGCGTATGGATGGATGGGTTGTGTGTACAAGGGGGTGTTTTTTATCAGTCATTCTCGTGGGAAGTTTTCTTTCCGAATAGAATAGGAGTTGTAAAGTTCATATAAACAACATATATCTGCCTATACTTGCAGCACTTAATTAGCACTCAATTCCTTGATATTAATATTTATCGTATATCTATTATCGTTACTGCGTTGCTAGCGATAAGTTTTGCCAGCAATGCGAATTTCAAAAGTTCGTTGCGGTGAAAATTTCTGTGCACCTAATTAGCACCTAAAAAGCCCCTAATTTTGGCTTTTCCTAAATGCAAATTCTTGACTTTGCGTAGCTGGCGAGACAGGGGTATGTTATTCCATATTGTTACAAGAATGTAATACACAAGTGCATTAAAAGTTTGATTATTATGAAAAACAAAATATGATTTTATGGCCAAGGGCTCTTATTTTATAGAATATATTTTTTATCTACTGATGTCTGGGGGTACGTGTAGGATGGTACCACCCTATTGCCTATATCGGCCACCAAGCAGCACACTGCTGTAATCCTTTTTTTTACTATTATTATAGGCCAGTGCTTGACCACTATACAGCCTGATGGTAAGGGATCGTATAGTTCTGATCGTGCGGATACGTATCACTCAATTTGTATTATGACCATGTACGGTTTAGATAAACTATCGTTCATCAATAATCGTTCATCGTTTTAATAAGAGATGATTGAAAGTATCATAATATATTGCTATTGACCAAAATAAAATAGATATTGCGTTATATGTACATGACTGAGAGAGAACATGGCTCTGATAATGATCATGCAATTTTGCGACGAACACAAGAGACGGACCGAATCGAAAACTAGGTACTTCGGATAAACTAATACCATTTTTCAAGCAGATGAACGACAGATTGATAGATACATAGCAAGGGAACTAGTTCATTTGCATCGTTCGTTCGCGAACTACCCATATCCAATGGCCTTATATAAATAAGCTAGGCTGCAGAAGCAACCATCAATTGAACAGTTAGCTCGATTGTCGCTGAATATTTGTACTTTGTTTTGACTACAAGTTGTACTTTATTTCTGGAACTCCATAAACGTCAATGAAAAAACAAACAAATTAACAGATGTAATGTAAGCTACAGTAAGTAGTAAAATTGACAGTTTGTTGACAGTTTGACAAATTTTGTGACACGAAGTTAAAGTACAGTTAGTACTAGACTGGGATTATAATGAACTTCACAATAGCAAACAGTTACTACAAAAACAGTGACCTAACGAAAACGCTTTACTGTAATTGAATGAGAAACTGTCCTCGCGGTCATGCCATGCTAGTTACGTTAAGTTAGCGAACCCGGCTTTCAATTTTTTTTTAAATATCATTTAACCACAAAAGTAAATATAAATTGCGCGACCACAAGTTTTTAAGTTCCGTTTTATTCATCATCATCATCATCATTACAGCCTTTCATAAGTCCACCGCTGAACATAGGCCTCCCCCAAGGAATGCCACAAAACACGGTCCTGAGCCACCTGCATCCATCAACTTCCTGAATGTCTTACCAGGTCGTCACTCGATCTCGTGGGGGGTCGCCCTACACTTCGCCTACCGGTACGAGGCTGCCACTCAACTACGTTTTATTATCATGAACTTATTATTTGTAGACAATAGGTACAACAAACATTTGTTCCAACAGGATTCTAACCCGCGGCTCATAGCGTTTAGATCAAACGCATAGCCACTGTGCTACGGAGCCGTCACTACTTACTTTTAATAAGAATATCACCGTTACCGATTGTATCATTCAGAGAAACTCCGAGCATAGCCCTGTCCTAAGTTTGCTGAGCGACCTTAAGTCTACGTTTACTTACGGCCAGTGTATCATAATTCTAGATATTAAAATAAACTTATGCATATTTCAAAAGTTTTATGGCATCACTACAGTAAAACAGACTGAGCATCGCTTAAACATCATCATTTTTGATAAACTTATATAGGTTCTAGAATTATTGTGATGGTTGCAGTGTAACTTTCATCGCATTCAAATCCTGTGCTGATATTGATCAAATGTTCCATCCGATATGAATAAATAAGAAAACTATACTTCAGTCTAAAACGTGCCATTTGCTTAAGCCGTAATCAGTTAAAAACTCTCGTGTCTGTGGCGAGTCTCTGGGAGATGAATATATTTGTGCTATTTTTTTTAGATTCTTTGGGTCAACAAGCGGTAGTAAGTCTTTTCTCTCTCGTTCTCCTTCCTGGATTTACCTGGATTTATGATTTGGTAAAGCAAGGAAAGAATCAAACCACTATCCGAAATAACTTTGGATAGCTCGGTAGCGCAGTGCAGTGGCTAAACGTTTGGAGCTGCGGGTTCGAATTCTGCAAAGAACAGGGGTGTGTATGGCCTTGAAATAATTTACCGGATTTGAATTTGATTGGTAGCATTTTTAATTTAAAAAAATCGTCCTAACATAAAGGCAGACAGTACCTAAACAAAGAACGCCAAGGAAACTAATTCAATCGTTTATAAAGAAACAAAAACACGTTTTATCACATTACGTCGCTGTATTCATAAATATTTATTGTGTAGTGATCTTAGTTGATCACAGTAAGATTGATATGTATGTGAATTATAGTGTCATACAACATCGCCATCTTTGCAGCATATACATATATAAACATAAAAAAGTAAAAAGCTGGGTTTTAACTGCTCTCGTTTCTTTAGAATGTTATGAAAAAGAGTATACGGTATACTCTTTTTCATAACATTCTAAAGTAAAATAGCTATAGTGTGAATTGCTGACAGCTTCCATATATATATAATAATATTAACGACTAGCTGATACATGTGACTTCGTCCGAGTTGCTTGATATATCAACAAAATTTTCGTGCAAAGGATGTGCAAAGGAAAAAGTATCAAAAATATCGCAAGCAAAAATATACTGTGCTTACAAAATTTCTTTGTGAACAATGTTATTCGTTGCATATAATGTTCACTGAACACGTAGTGGTTATAAAATCGTTGTTTCTTAGAACTTTAGTAACTTTATATTAAATGAATATATCGCAATATTTTTTTTTTTAAATAAAAACTTAGAAAACCTAACTGAAATCTATTCAGTAGTTTTTCCGTTATGCCCGCACAACTGCAAACCTGTATTATTTTATTTATTAACGATATGGGTACGTTCGTGGTAAAAGAACCGAATTTTTCACAAATTTTCAATTTCAAAGCACGAATAGTTCGGCTCTACCGGAGACGGATCAAACTCTACCAGAATACCAGCGTGAAACAGCGGAACAATGCAGCTGTGTTTCGTATTGTGAGTGTAGAGAACCGGAGACCCTTTTTAGAGGTAAAGTGGCATTCCATTTAAGTCCTTAGAGGTAATTTAACGATGCATTTTGATTCTTGATCGAGGATAGATGTAGATGTCTATGGGCCACATCATCCTTTTACCATCTGGTGGACTTGTTTGTCACGATTAATCTATAAAAAAATGGAAATTCTTTAACTAAATAACTGCGTAATAATGCTTTCGTGCAGCATCCCTTTTCTGAGCTACCACGACTGTCTCATGTAAAAACATGTATAAATAAACGAAAATTAACATTATATTTTCTGAGAATTGTTTTGAATCGAATCTCGGTTACCTATGTGTGCCTTATGTGTGATAAATTATCTTCAACAGCTACTACGCGGCATTATTATTAAGGTTTGTGTAATAGACAAAGCAAAGTAGTAATCGAAGCAAAAGGCAACTAATGATGTAAGGCGAAGGTCAAGCCATCACTTCTTCCATAATTTTCCATCTAAGTTCATTTATCATAGTTATGTGTAGCTCGCTGCTCTTTGAAGCTTGCCTAATACATACAAACTTTTTTTTAATAACGGCACAATTCATAATTCTATTTATTACTCGCTATTTCTATAAATATCTAAGTTATACCACATAATAATTAATAGTACAAGAAGTTACGTTATCGTGACTATCATTTTAAGGAGTATGAATTTAAAATGATTTATTGTAAAATTATATTAATAAACACGAACATAACAATATGATTAAGCTCTTGTGATGATTTTATTATTTAAAATCGTCATTTTAAATAATCCACAAGCCGCCCTTTTCACATAACAGTAACAAGTTCTTTCATTTGCTTTATAAACTAAGTAAGGAAAGCGTACCTAATTCTTCTGCCGCAAAACGTTACGGTGTTATTATGCAATCGTCAACCAATGTATAAGTGTATGCACTTTTTTATGATTACAGAAAACGCGTTATAGCACGTTGTTGTACGTGCCGAAATTTTGTTTTAACACATAACACATAATACGTAATTGCGCGGAACATATTATGAGACGTATTTTAAAATCATCGTGAGCCCATAATTTTAAAATATTTGTCTTCTCGCATGATTTCAAATGTAATCGTTTTAGTATTAGTTATGTACTGCAAGTTTGGGTTCAATTTATTTAGAAAAAAAATTTTTTTTTCTTTTATTTACACAACATGATAATAGAAAATGTGATAAAATTGTTGTAATATTAATGCATTAGAATTTAAATATAATTTAAAATTAATGATTACAAATTTAAATACCTTCTATATTTATTCTTCAAAAAAAAAACGTGCTGGTGAAAACACTATCGAAAGGTACTTATATCCCAATAATTAAAACAGTATCTTACAAGACACATCATCTCTTATTGAAGCGTTACCAGATAAAATTAGTTTAAATATCGATTATTGATTACCTATGAAAAATTTATTTAAATGAAGCCACTTATAAAACCACTCAATTGGACTTAATATAAAAAATAAATAGCACGTG